GCTAGGCAACCAGGTTGTGTCAGTAAAAGGCCCTTTCCTCACCTATTTTGACCTTTGGGGGAAACTCATTGGGGCCAGTCCTGTTAGGGTTGCCAACTCCAGCTGGGAAATTCCTGGAGATTTAAGGGATGGAGCCTGGAGAGAGTGAGGTTTGAGGAGGGGTGGGACCTCAGGTACAATGCCATAGACTCCACCTTCCAAGCCAGACAATCCCTCATGGGGAAGCATTATTGCCAATCTCCAGGAGGGGCCTGGAGATCACTCAGGATTACAACTGCTCTCCAGATGGCATTCATCCATTCCCCTGGAGAAAATGGTGGACTTTGTGTCCTTATTCCCTGCTGAGGTTGCCATGGCAAATTGATGCTGAGTGCCCATGGCCTTGGCACTCTCCCAGAGCCTCTTTCTAGCGCTCATTGTATTTATTTCCAAAATGGGCCTTATTCCTAGTCAGCTATACTGATGTATCTATCTGAAGTAAGGAATAATGGCTTGGCTCCTACTTGGATTTCCATGAGCACCAGGGAGGACCTGGAGATCTCCCGCTGCTACAATTGGTCTCCAGATGACAGAGTTCAGTTCCCCTGGAGCAAATGGCTGCTTTGGAGAGTAGACCCTATGGCATTAATCCCCTGCTGAGTCCTTCCATGCCCCCCCCAGTGCTGCCCTCCATAGGATCCACCCCCCAAATCTCCAGGTATTTCCCTAATCAGAGGTGGCAACTGTGCTTAGTGCCTGTTGCTAGGGAACCAGGTTATGTCACTAAAAGGCCCTTTTCACATCTATTTTGGCCTTTGGAAGAACACTCCTTGGGGCCAGTCCTGATAAGGGTTGTCAGCTCCAGGAAGGGAGATTCTGTGTCTAAGGAAGCCAGTCTAAGGAAGCCAAAGTCTGGGGAGGAAAGAAGCCTCAGCTGAACAGAATGTTATAGAGGCTACCATCCAAAGCAGTTAATTTTCACCAGAGGGGGAGAGAGATCTGTTGTCTGGAGTTCAATTGTGATACCTGGTGATCTTCAGGCTCCACCTGGATGTTGGCTACCCTAGGCATAGCAGTCAGTGCTTCAGAGCAGGGTCTGCTAGACCCAGGTTCTTGCTGTGGAAGCTGACTGGGTGATTTTTGACCAGAGACTTTCAGACTAACCTACCTTGCAGGGTTGTTGTGCAAGTCAAAAGGGGGAAAGGAGAATGATGTAAGCTGCTTTGGTCCCCATTGCAGAAAAAGACTAATTTTCCTCCTGGGGAACTATTGTTGCCAATATCCATGTGCAGGCTGGAGATCACTCAGAATTACAACTGTTCTCTAGCAGGCAGTTTGAAGGATGGAGCCTGGAGAGGGTGAGGTTTGAGGAGGGGTGGGACCTCAGACAGGTAGCGTTCCATAGACTCCACCCTCCAACCCAGCCATTCCCTCATGGGGAACCATTGTTGCCAATCTCCTAGTGGGAGTTGGAGATCACTCAGAATTACAACTGCTCTCTAGGAGGGAGGGGAAGGAGATGGAAAGCTGAAGCCAGGGGGCAGATAACGGTAGGTTGATGGTTGGCTGAGAGGGAGATCAGGTTGCCATCTCCAGGTTGGGAAGTTCCTGAAGATTTGAGGGGCAGAGCCTGGAGAGAGTGAGGTTTGAGGAGGTGTGGGACCTCAGACAGGTACAATGCCATAGACTCCACCGTCCAAGCCAGTCATTCCCTCATGGGGAACCATTGTTGCCAGTCTCCAGGGGAGGGATGGAGATCACGCAGAATTACATCTGCTTTTCAGATGGCAGAGATCAGTTCCCCTGGAGAAAATGGTGGACTCTGTGTCATTATACCCTGCTGCGGTTGCACAGCAAACTGGCCCTGAGTGCCCAAGGCCGGGGCACTCTCCCAGAGCCTCTTTCTAGAGCTCGTTGTATTTATTTTTTCAACGGGCATTATTCCTAGTTGATTTATAAAGCCATGTCTTGTATCCCCAAGTAGGTGGAGACCCCCTACCTTGTCTGTAGATAGTCTGATTCTGAAGATTTTGTTATCCACAAAGAGACCAGTCTCTTTACTATTAGTTATAGTCACAAATTGGTACCTACAACACATTGCTGGAAGAGAACAGCTTGGAAATTCCACCCCAACTTTTAAAATAACTACTTCTATGATTCTCTCAGCTATTAGGGGCTTATGCAGGCTCATTACTACCCCTCTTTCTCTTTAACTTTGTTCAAGTGTTCTTATTACATCATTTAAAAGCATGTTTTTTCCTCATCAGATTATTTTTGAGAAGGTTTTTCTTTTCTTTTTAGCAGGGGTGTGTCAATTAACAAAGTCATAGCAAGAGAGTACCTAGGGGTATAGCAGGATGACCTCTTATGTGTGGAAACCACTTCACACCATTCCGTCATGCTGTAGCGTAATTAAGAAGCAAATTTAGGATAATGCTATGCCTAATTCTTAAAGGCTGGAATCACCAGGGACATAGAACAAGTGTAGCCTCAACACAAACAGTGCCCATTTCATACAAGTATGTAGTTGCTTTTGCTTCTAAGAGGAAAAGTAAAATGTCATATTTAATGCAGATTTTGTAGTAGGGACAAATGCTACCTGTCACTACTAAGTAAAAAATTAAGAGAGTAATTTCTGCCCTCCCCTCCACCCACCACCACACTGAACAGGGCTTCTTGTTTGTCTGTGTTGTGGTATTCATTTATTATGAACTTTGTTCTTCATGAGAACCATTCTCAGCTAATAACTGCAAAATACTGAAGAATAAATTGGGCACTTGTGGTTTATTTTTGATATAGGTCTTTGCAGTATGGTTATAACTTAGTGTTTGGAAAGATCAGGAAATAGCAGTGTGTGACAGAGTCTAGAATCAAATAGGGAAATTCAGTTTTTGACTGATATGTATTAAAAATAAAATCCTGTACCAGCTACTGCAGCTTTTCAAAGACCTTGCTGTTTTCCAGCTGTTTACCCTTGAGATGTAAAATGGTAATTTGACATAGACTAGCAACACTGTGTGATGTGAGCATCTGCGTAATAGGCTGTACATATGGAGCATGCTCAGTGATGTGAAAAGCCTGTTACCCCACCCCCACCACACACAGAGCTCTGAAGATATGAAATGAACTTTGTACTTGCAAATGTTACAATTTGCCCTGGATTTTTAAAGGTTCCTTGATAAGCACCATATATAACAGTTTATAGATATAGATATATATATTTTTTAAAAGCAACAAAGGAAGGTTTTCTTGTGCTGATGATTACATCAGTGAAGCATCTCCTACAATATACTTGAAGTCTGGGATTTCCCCCCCCCCCCTTGAATTAAATATCTTTGCCTTTTGGTGCCATGGGAAAATTAAGAACTTACTTATAGTAGACACTGCAACACTGAGGATTTGCAAAGCTGAGGAAAGAGAAGGAAAGAGCTTGCAGCAGAGGATGGATAGGAAAAGAGCAGTGATTCTGCGGTGCTCGGTGTGCACATGTTTTATGAGAATCAGTGCCGGACGCCGCAGCTGCGAACAATAACTGAGCTGTCTGGCTAATGAAGGCCACCTGGATCAGGCTTCTGAAAAGAGCCAAAGGAGGACGGCTGAAGAATTCTGATATCTGTGTAAGCACCGAATTTCCATTTGCTGGCATATTTTGCTTTGCAGGTGGGTTGGGTGGGGGAAGGGTTGCTTGCTTTCATTTGGTTTTGAATTAGCAGATTGTTATTCTTTTGATTGTAAGGAGAAAAACAAATTGTAGATATCAGAGATGATAGTTATTTTACTGGGCTTTTCTGGCATTGTGACCCAGGACTGGACATGCTCCTGATTCCAGATATATTATGTCAGCTGTTACTTGATTTGTGCTCTGGTTTTGTTGAAAGGCTGTGATAGATTTAAGCCATGTTCTTTTTATGATGGAGAAAGATAGTGTCAGGTGAAGAGGTGCCCTGCAAGTAAGATGGAATTTTAAACCTGTTGTCTTCAGGAATAAAGATTGTTCATACTAACTTGGCATTTTAGTCTGAATTTTACCTATCGCATAACTCAAATGGTTTAATGTTAGCTTTGTTTATCTAGAGCTATCCTTGAAGCTGCTGTATGTCCTTCAGCCCTGCACTGCACCATTGGTGTTCTTCCACAGGAACTAGTTCTACATAGCAAAAGGCATGTTCTGGTTGTAAAATGGGGGGAAGCAAAGATATAGGGTGTATAAAGAGTATTTTTAGTATGATCTTAGGATCAAAAGAACTGAAGTGCTTATTGTTTTACTTATTAATATTCTTCCGAACTTAAACATTTATTTTAAAAAAGCACTGAAAAATAATTAAAATATGGAAACAATGTGATACAGCCTTATTAATGAGGTTTTTTTTTAAGTAACACTGATTTCTTCATTTCCAATATTAATTTTCTCTTCCTCGTGTCTAGGGTTCGGCAGACTCCTACACTAGCCGTCCATCTGATTCAGATGTATCTCTTGAGGAAGACAGAGAGGCAGTGCGGAGAGAGGCAGAGCGACAGGCCCAGACACAGCTGGAAAAAGCAAAGGTAAGATGCTTCTTTACAATCCTGATTTGTGGAATTTCCTTTTCTCGTAGCCTGATGTCTACTAAGTAATTAATGGCATTTTTTGCTTCTGTGGAAAGGGTACAACATGAAAATAGCCATTTACTCTAATGTATTCTATAAGGCGTTTACACTTTATAAGTAGCTTGGGAAATGTAAAATACAGGCTTTATCTTCATAAATGTTTGTAAACTGTATTTTTTTTAAAAAAATGGCACATCCCAATTTTTGTAATTAAATCCTTGACCAGCTTTAAGTGGTGTATGTAATTCCATGGAATCCCAATTCCTCTGTTCCATATATTAAGAATTCTAGTAGTATTTAGCAATGATTTTACATTCTAGATCCAAAACTGAATGTGTGTTAATACTTTCAGTCAAAAGATGCATATCTCTGATGCTCTTATTATTTTTGTTTATCCCATTACTCCATTCCTCTTAAAAGTCCAATTCTGTTTCTTAAAATTATTTTGTAAAATTATTTATTTATTTTTATTTATTAAGATTTATACCCCGCCCTCCCCGCAGAGCGGGCTTATTCTGTGCCTTCCCTTTTTTCTTTCTCTGTTATTTTAAACTGGGATATTCTGCCTTGCTAAAAAAAAACCCCACAAAACAGTACGGTGGCTTGCCAAAACAAAACAGTTATGAAAAGCCTTTCATAGAAACAAAACAATTAGAAACACTTTTAATAAACAAGATAACGGCATACTAAAAAAAGTGATATCCAGCACAGTGTTATATGTGCTTAATCAAAAGTTAGCCCTGTTGTGTGTAGTGGGACTGATGCCCAGATAAAAGTGTGTATAAGTCTGCTGCCACCACATTAAAAACTCCCATTAGTGTTGCATCTTACTTCCTAAAGGACTGTGGCAAGTGTTTAAATGTGTTTGTGTCCCCTCAACTTACTTATTTATTTTTGTAGTTTTAGTAAACTGCTAAATGCCAGGGAGAAAAATATTCTTTGGTTCCACAAACATGTTCATAATTTTAGACAATATGCTTGATCCAGATTTCAAAACTTGGAAATACTGAAGTAATTATGACTTTTCTGTGCAGTTTTATGCACTAATGGATGTTTAAATTGTATTTCTTGATACTGTGGTTTGCTTGAACAATGGGCTTCTTCTGATAACTGTAGTCTGTAGTCTTAACTAGATTCCTGAACAACTATAGACTTTTCAGGTGGTATGATAAGAGTCCTTGAGCTACTTCTTTTTGGATTTCTTTAATCCACTGAATCTGTTGTCTGAAAAAAAAAATACAGTTTTGCTCTCAAAAGCTGCCCTGCTTCTGCTTTAAATCTAGACCTTGGAAATGGTGCACTTTAAGGAGCTTTGCACAATAGCAGAGTAGAGGTCAGAGTGTTTTCTGTCATGACCACCCTGAGAGGTAAATAAGGGAGTTGGATTGCCAGAGGTTGATAAATGTGCATATGAGTATTTTTACCGCCTCTTTTGAAGACTACTTTTGCACGACACAAGTTAGCTACTTCAGAAGTAAACATTTTATTAAGGCTATCAGTAAAATTAAACTTTGAAAGGAAAGAGTTTCAGCATCTTGCAGGAAAAAAAATGAGTAGCATTAGAGCACTTCCTGCTAAGCTGATGCATCTCTTACTGATGAGTAAATCTATGTGAGTGTTGCTATGGGAATTTGGCTTAGTGATGCTGACTTGAATGCATGGACAGCCTTATGTAATATTCATGACCTCTAGCAAAGCTGCTGTGGGAGTTTACAGAGAAACTGCTAGCAGACCTTGACTTTTTAAAACCGTATTTCTGTGCATCAAAACAATATTCTCACTCCAGTTGGTTGAGGAATAGTCTCTATGTCTGACACTGTCTCTGACTGTGAGACAATATGTAAACAGCAGAAGTGAGAGGGCATTGGTAGTATCAAGCTGCTCAAACTATGGTGTGTCAATACTTCCTTAGTTATTGACTTTATATTAATTGTAAACTAACAAGAATGTTAAGCAAGCACCCAAAAACTGCAAAACAAAGTAATGATAAATATTTGGAGTGGACAAAAAAAACAGAATTAGCTAATATACCTACTTATTATTCCATTTAATCTTTTAAATGTTTCCAAGATGGTACAGAAAATAAACAGTTCATCTCCCTTATAAATAAAAGCCGAATGGTGGTGGCACTTCTCTAGAACATTCCACATGCTCCAAAATCAGTTCGCTCTCTGATCTGTCATTCAGAGGGTCTCCCTATCCACTGGCTGCTTTGCCTGAGTCCTGCCTCCCCCATAGCCAGTCAGAACACAGAGGTTATTTGCATATGCAGCCTCATTGGCCTTTGCCTCGGAACACAGATGTCGTTTGCATGCGCAACTTGATTGGCTTTTGCCTCTAACATTCTAAACAGTTTTCTGTTCTGAGGTAAAATGTGTCCAATCTCCAGGTGAGGGCTGGAGATCACTCAGAATTACAACTGCTTTTTCCAGATGGTAGAGATCAGTTCCCCTGGAGAAAATGGTGGGCTCTGTATCCTTATATGCTGCTGTGGTGGCCCCCGTATGACAGTCAATGTGACGTAGCAGTCAGGGCTTCAGAGCACGGGAGAGGCTGCAGGTGTGTGGGGGGTGGAAAGCTGAAGAGTGAGGGGGAAATAAAGGTAGGTTGATGATTGGCTGGGAAGGAGATAGGGTTGCAAACTCCAGGTGGAAAATTCCTGAAGATGTGAGGAATGGAGCCTGTAGAGGGTGAGGTTTCAGGAGGCGTGGGACCTCGGACAAGTACAAAGCCATAGACTCCACCCTCCAAACCAACCATTCCCTTCTGGGAAACCATCGTTGCCAATCTCCAGGTGAGGGCTGGAGATCACTCAAAATTACAACTGTTCTTCAGGTAGCAGAGATCAGTTCCTCTGGAGAAAATGGTGGACTCAGTGTCATTATACCCTACTGAGGTCGCCACAGCAAATTGACACTGAGTGTCCAAGGCTGGGGCACCCACCCAGAGCCTCCTTCTAGAGATCGATGTATTTATTTCCACAATGGGCCTTTTTCCTAGTAGAAAGATAAAGAAGATAGAAATCTCCATTAAAATAGAAATGCATTTTGTTAAAGATGATTTTCCTTGCTTCCATGGCCATGTATGAAAATAATACCTTCCTCTTAAGATTAACTATTTCTCATATCCTTGCTGAGGTTACTATTTTTGTAATTAATATATTATTTATTTAATAATATTCAAAAACATAATATTCAATAATGTTGTTTACCTAGACTTCCAGAAAGCTTTTGATAAGCTTTTGATAAATTACTTTTCCTTAGTATACTCATAATCATGGGATAAGAAGGAGCTCCAGAGAGTTCTGATGAGGCTGGGTGAATGGGCATCAATGTGGCAAATGAGGTTCAGTGTGGGCAAGTGCAAAGTAATGCACATTATATTGGAGTCAATAATCCTAACTATAAATATATGTTGATGGGTCTGAACTGGCAGTAACTGACCAGGAGAGAGATCTTGGAGTCATGGTAGATAACTTACCAAAGATGTTAACTCAGTGTGCAACTGCTTTTCTCCCTTTCTCACAATACAAGAATTTGTGGGCACTCAATGAAATTAATGAGCAGTAGCCTTAAAACAGATAAAGGAAGTAGTTCTTCACCCAAAGAGTAATCAGGACATGGAATTCACTGCTGCAGGAAGTGGTAACAGCTATAAGCATAGAGAGCTTCAAGAGAGGATTGGATAAACATATGGAGCAGAAGTCCATCAGTGGCTATTAGCCACAAGGTATAGATGGAACACTATGTCTGCGGCAGTGATGCTCTGTATTCTTGATGCTTGGGAGGTAAGAGTGGGAGGGCTTCTGGAGTTCTAGCCCCACACGTGAACCTTCCTGATGGCACCTGGTTTTGGCCACTGTGTGATACAGAATGTTGGACTAGATGGGCCATTGACCTGATCCAACATGGCTTCTCTTATGTTCTTATGAGACTGCATAATACGTACCATATAATACAATATCCATGAGATAAGATTTGACAATCTAAACAAGGTTTGATATCTTTTTAAAACTAATTCTTTCGATTTATTTCTATAACAGAAAGCAATGATGGATGACCAGACATTTACAAACCTATCCTGTGCATATCTGTTTCCATCCCAGTACTTCTTCTATTTCCTCATTAACATGGTGTACTATACTTTTCTTAGCTCTTTTTCAGTATCTGGTACTTTCTCCTATCTCCACACCACAGCTTTTAACTATTTACTACTTTTAAACATTTCTATCAGCAATTAATCCATTCCCCAAAGTATACTGATCTCTATGCATTTTATTTAATGTTTATCCGATCTCTTTCCTTGTGAGTGCAAGAATTGAAATGGTCCATGGGTTCCATGGTACCCACCTTTCCTGGGGCCCACTAAGTGTTTCTAGAAAGGGGTGTGTGGTGATATGGGGCTCTTACTCAGCAAGGTTTCTGACTGGCCATTGGAGATCTGATTGGCTGTGCAGATTAAAATAGCATTTCAAAGGTAGCTGCCATTACAGTGTTGGTTTTATTCTTTTCCACTCCTAGTGCATTTTTTAAGTTACCCCATTTCTCCCCTGCACTACGGTATCCTCTATGTGGGTGTGGCTCCACCTCCTTTGGCATCGATTTTGTAGTTACATCCAAAGCCTTTTATTGGCATATACATGAAGATACAGTAATCTAAATACAAAATCGTGCATAGTAAAATTAGAATTGCAGAGTAGCATCATAATAAAACCTAATTCATAGTATCACTTATCAGCCGTGAGACCATGGCACTGCAAAGACTATTTGGTAGTTGTTTCCACCACCATGTGTCAGAATCCCAAAAGGGCACACAGGCTCAAAAAGGTTGGGGACTCCTGGTCTAGGTGTTTTTGAATTTTTCCTGTGGTTGAAAATATATTGATCCTGATTAATCTTTTTAGAAACAAATTTAGAACAAATTGGCATGCATTAATATTCTAGAGGCTGAAAAGGATA